AGCAGGAATCTACAGCCTGGTAAAATGAACTTTAAAAGGCCAAACAAAGCAAAGGTCTAACATCTTTCCAAAGCAAATCTTTTAGAAATAAATATAAAAGGAGGAGGAAAAGTAAAGTACACTCACCAGGCGGGTATTAACAACAGGAAACAGCAATGCCAAGAGTGCCCCGTTCAGCATATGCATCTGCAACCTTAGAAAACAGATGTGATATTATTTTCACAGATGGAAATAAAATGCAATGTTTTCACACATTTTATGTAGTATCTCTTCAGTAAAAGGTACCAAGAGATTTAAGAAAATTCTTTTAGCTTGAATTTGAATAAAGCCACAGTTAGATGCAATAACCAGGACTAAAACCTCTCTTTAAATACACACTTAAATAATTTCCTAAATTAGGACTGCTTTCTTTAATGAGGTTTGGATTCCTAGAAAGCCTGGACTGCCCATTAATCCTGTTCATGATGCAAGCTGCTAAATAGCTGGAAATTTGCTGTTAATTTATCTTTCAGAGCTTAAAACAGCATATGTGATAAAGGTTTATACTCCTGTCTAACTCTATAAATGTACAACTTCAAAGTAAAACTTCAGGAATTTGAAAGAAGTCCCTTTAAAAAAAATAATTACATTTGTCAAAATGCAACAGTAAGTCCCAAGCAAAGAATAAGGCAGGAAAGCAGTATTATAATACTGTATTTTGTACAGCTTTCAGACATCTTCTGAACCACTGCTGCACCACAAGAACACAAAAACAGTATCAGTACTGTTTCAGCCTACTTTACCTAAGACACAAAGTGAAGAACAGACTCTCTACAACCATTGCCTGTCATAAACTGTTAGGAATTTAAAAGCAACTTGAGGGGGAAAAAGGCATTACAACTTCAAAACAGTTTTTCAAATGTAATTTATATGCTGTCAGGGTATTAGAACACAGAAAGGCTTAATGTGAAAAACAATAAATATTTTGGCCTCCACTCTGCAACCTATCTTTTGCAAATGCATAGAAAATCCAGGATTTCCTGGACACCAGCCGTGCTTTTCACACTCTCTGAGATGGAGACGCTAACACGCTCTCTCTGTATTCAGCCTATTCCCTGACCACGTAAGGAACAGCAGGGAAAAGTTGCAAACAGATAGCAGCAGTTCCAAAATAATTAATGAGGCATGCTCTCAGCGTCACTTCTCCAGTCACTGCCTAGACTAAGACAAGAAAGAGACAAGTTAACTGTCACAGCGGCAACTACAGCCATTCCCGATCACCATTCTGCCTGGGAAGCCCTGTGAGCCTCCCTCCAGTATGACCAGTTACAGTCCTTAGCTGCTTACTGGGCTCTACTGCAGTAGTCCCTTAGAGCCTCCTGCACATTAGAAACTCGTGTGGTTCCTACAGTTAGTAACAATAC